CGCACTTTTCCAAAATTTTTGCGATCCCCCTTAGGGAGGTCTTAATGCGACCATCAACTTCAGGAGGCTCCCTCAATACAACCCTCCTCCCCCTATCCGACCTACCACCCTTGCCATCATGACTGTTTCTATGTAATTTGATTATGAGATAATTCGACACGGGCAACCCCCCACACTTTTGCCTCCAAAACGCTCGTTGAGAGAATAGAGAGGGGGAGGGAGGGACCACGCACCTTTTCCGGACACGAATGCGACCCCCTCGTTCGAATGGTCCGAACGGACGGTTGGCCCTGATACCACTCAAAAAAGGACCTATTGTGAACGCGCAATAGCAGAGAAGGAGATAAGTTATCATCAATTAAGAAATAGTAGTAAGTGATTGAACTGAACGGTAGGAAAAGAGGAAAAGAAACAGATGAGAACGTCAAAATAGGGTCCTCCTTTTTGCTACGTAGAGAATAGCCTCAGAACATGAGAGTCTAGAGGACCTTCGACGCTAGAGGACTCTTGACGTCAGGAGAGAAAATGACAAAGGCGAAAGAGCACAGGAACAACGAAATAGCAGACACCACTATGGTGAATGAGCGCGTCTGCTTGAGGTGTGCATGGTTTCAAGTTTTACGGCCTTACTTGCCGCTTCCACACTTCTTGAGTCGCAAAAGTGGTTCAATTTCTTCCGATGTGCACTCAGTGAATTCATTCGCGGGAGGGATTGATCCGAAGGTTCGTCTAGTGACAAAGTGTGCCTTTAAGTCTAGGTAATTCTCTGTCCGTAGAAGAATTGAGGTGTTAAAAAAAGTCATATCAAAAATGGTGGCTCCATCCATCCCGTTCCCACTTTACGACCTGAGTTCACCACATATCCAAGAGGTGCTACTAATACGCTATGTTATAAAAGGCCATGAATCACATTATTCATCTTTCAGGCGCATATTCATTTATTTTAACCCTTCCATTCAGAAAGCTCATCCCCGCGAACTGAGTCAAAGAAACGCAAAAGCGGTCAACAAAAGGAAACAGATCAAAAATCGTCTCATAAGCATTTTTGCAATCTTTTTCTCTATCAGGGTGTCCACAGTAGTGAATTTGGCGCTATGAGTAAAGCTGCACCCACCAGGAACGGGTTGCTCAAAAAATTTACATAACTTCTCCATTACTGAAGAGATGAGTGACATTCGATTTGTAACTAAGTAAGAAAAACTGGGCTGAGTCTACTCGCCTTCCAGACAACTACGCAGACCAAATATCAATGTATGTACAACTCTTGCAAATTTGGACAAATACGCATGCATAGTATATTGAACTTGACGATCAGTTCGAGAACATACTACTTTTCCTTCTGTGCGCTCGAATTCTGCAGGTTCAGCTATTTCACAAACAATTCTTTATTCGACCCTGTTTTGAAGCCCTCACAATTGCAGGATCCCTCAAAGCTATTTAGGTCAGCGCGGAGGTAGTGCAGTGGTAAATGGCATTCCGTACCACGAGCATGGTTCCGGGATCAAATCCTGGATAGTCTCGCGCACAACAAGACAAACCAATCCTTCCATCCTCCAGGGTCAATGAATTGGTACCAGACTTGACTGGAAGGATGAAAGCACTGAATTGAACTGGATCATGAAAAATTTCCGCCTCAGGCGGAACTCAAACTTGTACCAATTCCTTGCCGGGCAATGGCTCTGCAAATTGCGCTACGGGGCCACCGTTCCGCGCTAACTTAGCGTAACTTGCAGCGCACTTATCCGGTAAGCGAGAGGTGGCGATTGAGTTCTGTCTGCGTCGAAGTTTTTTTTTTCATAACTGAGCATTCTTCTGAATCATTCGCATTGCGAACTGCGGCGTTAAACTAGCAGTTATCGAACAAATCAAGTGCTCAGCAACGCACAAGTAAAATCGCAAATCATTGTACAGCGGTAAAAAAGCGGTAAAAATGAAGTTGGGGGGGGGTGGTGGGCATTCCATTGTGCTTTACAATACCAAAGATAAGAATGTTGGCGCTACGTAATATCATTTCAGATACAATTCTGATAAATGTATGTGTATTGTAGAAAAACCTGGAGATGTTTTCACATCTCCCCTGTCATGGTATGGGAAAACGGTCCTTCATTAGGAGAATGGGCATTTCCCCTTAGCCTAAGGGCGGGGTACTTTTAGGATGGATGACCAGTGGCTGTAAGGTATTCTTCCCGGAGGGGTTGGGGGACAAATATCCCTTTAAATTTTCTCTGTCTTCCAGGATGCGTGGGATATGGGACACTCATCGGTCCTTATCAAAAGTACACCATAAATGAGCCGTATTATCTTATCCTTTGTTAGAGGGTCCGGACAAGTACTCTTTAGTAGGGATAGCAGTAGTAGATAAGATAACAAGGAGTGCCCCTCCCCCCTCCCCCGACTACATTTTCACCGGCTTAGCTTCACATAAATGCTGCTACTATTTTGAATTCTTTTATGAGCAATTTTTATTTCGTATGCAATTTGAATTGCCGCTGAAAGTGTAGACGATTGCCGGAACTGCGGGAGACTGAATATTAGCTTTGTCCGCTAAGGCGAATGCAGCACATCATTACACGGAATAATGTCGCTCCATTCAAGAGATCCCATGATTTCAAGTGGAAATGCGATTTACACCATATCTCGAAGTACCTGATTAACTTCATTGTAATCCAGACCCGTTATTCTTGATGTAATCTCTATCAAAAAGAAGGAAACAGAGAAAGCGGCGAAGAAAAGGAACGGCTTGGGCGTTCCATTAATTTCCTTTCCTGTCTGTGTCGCACGCAATCAGTGGGAACTTCCTGAATGAGTCCGGTTTTGAGTCGAAAAGCGCCAATCCTTCCAACAAACAACATGTGCTAAGTGTCCTTTAATCTGCAATTCTTCTTTGATTGCGATTATCCGTTACTGAAACCTCGTCCTCCCGGTTACCCTGACTCAACCCATCTAATCTCTCCGTTACCTTTACCTGCAGGTCTAATGGGGTATGGAACATGCCCAATGAAAACCCTCGACTGGTAGGTAGCGGGAAATGTACCAGCCCAGCTGGGCTCGCATCTCTGTGCAAACACCGCGATGCCGCTGCAATTCCTAAACTCCCCGGAATCAACAGCCAAACAACAAACGAACAAATATCCCAGACGTACAACGAGGTGTTGTTCCGTGCCACCTCTCATGCCACATCACCCGCTAAGCGCCCGAGAAACCACCTCGCTCTCCTCTTCCCGTATTGCATGAGTGACCGCGAACTTTCGGCCATCAACGCATTATGAATGAAGTAAGCGTTGAGCTCTTTGAGCTTGAGCCAGCGTTTAACAAAACAAAATGTTTATATTTTTATTATTTTCCGGGCATTGTGACACAACAACTCGTCTTGGACCGATGGTTAAACAAATAATAAACTATCACAACAAGCGCCATCATATAGCTACAAGATTATGGAACACATCTGAAGAAATCCATCCAATACACACACAAACATTTATGCGAGAGCAGATAGGGATGATGAGATGTAAGCTAAAAAGACAAGAAGGCATACCGCGTCCACTCAGAAAAAAAAACGAAAATTAAAGGACTCGGAAGCAACCGGTTTCACGCTGACGGCGTATGTGCGCCGACAAAGAAGAATACGAACAAACATTGAAAAGAGCGCAAGGCACTCGGTAACCTGAGTTTGGCGGAGGTTCATATTTACATAGAGTATCTCACGGGGGCAACACCCCGAATTAGGAAAGACAACGCAGTTGAGAGAGAAACAGAACAGCACAGGTGTTATTGCGGACGCATGGGGAACCCTTCTTGTTGTAACCGTCGCATCATATCGGAATTTGTCATTAGACCATTTGCTTGGGATGACGGGATTAATGCCGGATGTAGTCCCATATTAGGTGGCAGACCAGCGGTCATCGCTGTTGGCGTCTGCATTGGAGGTGGCCCCATTTGCGGCATGCTCATTTGATTTGCCATCATCATTTGCATCATAAGAGCCTGAATCTCCGGATTGGCGAGAGCTTGCGGATGGCCCATCGCGCCACTCATCGCACCAGCCATCTGCTGTGCCTGCATCATCTCCATTTGAAATCGTTGCATATCAGTCGGCTGTTGAGTCGGCATGAACGGCAAGCCGGCCGCTGCAGCCATTCGCTGGTCCATGAACGACATCATTGGAATGCGGCCAGCGGCTGCCAGTTGTCGTTGCATTTCCAACTTCATCATCTAAAAAACGGCAACTTTACTTGAAGCGGTATCCCACCTAAAACTTCTTAAACCACTAGACTTACATGCTGTTGTTGTGCTGCAGCATGTTGTTGAGCTTCGATTAACTGCGCTTGCTGCATTTGCTGCATCATTGCCATAGTCATCGGATCCATACCATGGAACATAGGCATCTGACCATTCATGGCTGCCACCCGTGACAAATCCGCAATTCCACTCGGCATCATACCGTTCATTTCGGCCTAAATTCGGATCATTGAGCACGCAACTATTTGAACACTTTTTCAGAATGATGGGCACCTTTTTCGGCTGTGTCGGGGTCGCCGGTTGTTGCTGCGCAGCGGCCGCTGCTGCAGCCTTCTCTTTCTTCTCGCGTTTCCGCCTTGCCCATTCACAATCGCTCGGCATACGATATGACAGATCAGTGCGAGCACTCATCTGGCCGCACGAACGAACGATAGATTGCACAAATATCGCATTTTTTGATGTGCAAGCCTCCTAGAATAACAATTTTCAAATCAAAGGTAGCCGCAAAACCGTTCAAAAGAAAGGAGAGGAACGGAAAGTACCTGATCGCCGTGTTTCCACGTATTATCGTCTTCGATGACGGTGGCAACATTCTCGTCATTTTCGTCGAAATCAATGTCATCAAAGATTTTCTCTTCCTTTTTAGGCTCAGCCACGCTTGCGATCTCTGGCTTGACATCTTCAACCATCATTGCGACTTGTTCGAGTTTTTCCAAAGGCTTTTCGGAATCAGGTTCCTGCTTCAACTCGGCAACGCGCTGAAAAACAATGCATCAATCAGCCTGCAGGAACAAGTACGTGCTTTCAGCACAAAACTATTGAGGGATGAATTACTTCGCAGTTAGCGATGACAGTATCCAAACGCGACTTCTCATTCGAAACCGGACTAGTAGCCTTTGCGTCGGCTGCTGTCTCGTTTTCCGTTTTGACGCAGCTGGGAGCTGTGGTCGATTTGTTTTCCTCGGTGAGTACTTCTTCTTTACCACTACTGCTGTCCTCATCAGCATCTTCCTAAAACTCAGTTCAATAGAAAAAAGCGACTTGAAAAACATGTACAAGTGTTTGAAAAAAAACAGCATAGGAACATACCCGCTTTTTCTTAGCGCTATTGTTATTCAGAGGTAATCCATTGCCATTGTGCACGTGATTAGATCGCTTTCGTTTGCCATTTTTCGTCTTGCTTATGGGCACTTTGTCAAGGTCGAACTCGTGAATCGAGGCCGCTTGACTGGGACTTCTTCTCTCTTCACCCATCGACGGTGTTCTTAAAATAGACCGTCAAATGTCAATAACACTACGCCATGTGATGTAATGTCACAGCCGAAGGAATAACGATAGGTTGGAATATTTGCGGCAGAGTACAGCATTTTTCCATACTAACTTCGCCGAGAATAATTTGATTGGCTCAATTTCAGGCAACTACGCAACGAAGACATGTCACAGAAACTGGATAAGCTTTGGAAAAATTGGATAGCGAGTTTCACTCGGTTGTCTAGCGATTGCCATTTTCACAATTAAAAAGTCTTAATGCTGTGCTTTTCATGGATGCCCGCTAAGCAAATTTCAGTGAATCTTAAGTCCGACGAGGAAAAATATCATAGAAGATACAATGCAAGCCACACCCTCCTACAACCAACCTACTATAAGAGGCCGAAGAAGCAATGTCGACAAAAAACATAACTGACCTTCGTCGTTCCTTCTTTCCTGCCCTGGTTCTCACGCCGCTGTCTTCGTCAGCGTCTGCGCTGGAAGGACTGCGTTTGAACAAGCACGGAGGCACGGTTGATGGACGATCGACTGGCCTTAGTTGACCGTACTTTTTGTAAAACAGTCGGCAATCGGAGCATAGCAAAAGACCGTCACGGCCTGCATGATGCCAGTCTCGACTCTCTGAAAGAAAGATATTAATGATTTGCAATTAATAATCATAGTTTTACTATTCAAGCCTCCGCCATCTCCAATAGAATCGAATGAGGTAACACATACTGGAGCCATAGCAGTGGTGGCATGCGTACTGCGCCGCTTTCTCAGCCTCTAGGGTTTCCATTTCACCTTCGCTTGCGGAGGCGTAATCCAGTAATTCAGTTGATGCGGGACGGGATGTCTTAATTATATCGGATTAGAGCACCTGACATTATAAGATAAAGCTATGGATGAATACCTTATTTTGCGCGCCCTTTGCGGTCCTCTTAATTGACGTCACTTGATTGCGCTGACGAGAGAGCGGCTTGGGTTTAACAGCATCTGACGTTTTCTTCCATAGATAGTAGAAACCGACTAACTGGTCCTGGAAATAGAGGCATGAATGGGAGCAGCGACAGCAACAGTCAGCAATGTTTGAAAGAACTCCGCCTACCCTGCTATGCAACGGAAGTAGCTCGCGACTAATGCGCATGAAGTTTTTGCCGATTGTTTTGATGCCTTTGCAGAACTTCTTTGTATCCTCCACTGTCATGAAGTTTGCATCTGCTGATAGCAACTTATCGTTTGCATTCATTTCCTTGAGAGCCTCATCGAATTTGTAGCCGCAGCGATGCAGCGTAGTAAGCGCATCGTCAAATAGCAGATCACTCACCTGAAACGAACACATCACCGTAATCACACATATATATCATCAGCACTAATACTCTTGCGCGCGGAAACCAACAACAGAAACATGCGGCGGAGCGGCAATGGCCATTGCACCTGGCGTTCTACCGTATGACCGCGAGACAGGTGTCACGGCACTTCGGCAGTACCGACTAATCTGGGATAATGTGCAATCAAACCCTATTTTATGGTGCAATGAAGAGATCGGGTTTAAGGGAAAATCCGAGCTGTACACATCAAAGCAGGACAAATGACTGTTCGGCAACTCAACAAAATATAAGACTCCTACTCACTCTGGAATGCTTCTCGGTGTCCATCATTCTCGTCTCCATCATGGCGAACATTCGAAAACTTCGTGCAAGTTTGATATACTTGTCTTCAGTGCTTGGGTCAATCATACCGGGTCGATAGAGTAGCTCATCGCGATCGGGCTCATCCGCCACTGAGCACGACGCCTCAGCTGGCAGCTTAGCCTAAAAGTCATGGTAAATTACTCACATGAAGTACTTTCATCGCAAAACTGACAAGACGCCGACTACAACCGCTAGCTAGGATAGCTGCTAAATCACAATTTAAGCAGCTCAAGTGGAAACAAGTTAATATAGGATTCTAGATAATACAATAATTAAGAATAGCGCTTTAATTTGACGGTTTCGACATAAACTGCATCGGATTTTTCACAAATCCATGAATGGAACTAACCATCTATTAAAATGTCTACCAAAGTCTCGAAAAGTAAAACAATTGTTCATTATGTGGGCAAGAAAGAGGATGTGAAGCTCTATGATTAATCACATCCGATGTGCACCTGCCAAGTTCCAGCGGAAGCCTCGAGGAGACTCGGGACCTTTTGCTAACGCTAGAAAAACAAATGGGTACATTTAAATAGAAATTCGATCGACCAACAATGTTCACGCAGTACTTCGGAGTAGAAATGTGAGCAACTATTGATTGCAAGCACAAAAACACCTCCCTCATTCATAATGACAAGAGTAATGAGTTCAAAAGAAATAGCTGGCATATCCCTCACTTTCGCAAATTTTGATAACAGTGAGCGTTGGAATAGTGGCAGCATTAATACCTTCTTGAGCGGATCACAGCGGGAGTTAATGTGAAAAGTGGCTTGTCTCGTTATAGCATCACGTATTATTCTAATCGTGGAGAGAATTCGTCAAAAAAAGTGCATTTGTAGATAATCTGATTAGTGTAAATAAAAAGGGCAACTGTCACTAAAGAGTATACTGGCGATACAAGACTACAAAGTTAACATCATTAGAAATCCAGTCCTAGCAGACGTTGTAAAAAAAAAGCAAACGATTCGTAGGAGCTCTATTGCAAAGCGCTTTTCATTTCAAACAGTGTTTTTTGTCGCAGAAACAAAATGTAAATAGAAAACGAAGTTGAGCACAAAATTTAATTAGAGCAAAATCCAGATGAGAAGAAGGCAATAGCCATACATTTCGGAAGTTATTCAACGTAACTTCATTAGCTGTCTTTTATTAATCCGGAGATTCTTTTGCTAGTAATGAAAAAGGTCAATGCGCATCCTCCTCAGCCACTCAGCCCGCAATTGAGAGCGAACAACAGCAATCGATGCCTAACAACAAGGGGCGAAAAGAACCCGAAAACGCCTGCTCACCGAAGAGGAAGAGGATGAATAAGAGCGCAGGCTCAACAACGGCTGGTCAGTTATGACTCTAAGTTTCTTCTTCTTCAATAGCAACCACAAGTACAACCCATCAAGCCAATTATATTACAAATTTCATCGCAAGATGATCTTCTCAACCACTGAAAATGAAGTCGGCCGCTTAAGATCTTGAGCGAATCGTAAACGTCAACGCCGCGCAAGGTCTTAAAGTCGCAATAAACGACAAGAAGTGGAAAGATGGATGAAATAAAGTCTATTCAAGATAATAGGCCCCAGCAACAGTGAAGAAATCGACGATGAAAAAATCAAATCCAAAACATGACATGGAAGTGAAGGGGTCGTTCGTGAACATAGACTGAGCTTGTAGTCGTGGGAGAAGCTTGAGAAGTTCGTTCTAGAAGCTTATCAGGAGACATTAAAAGAGTCTAACATCGAGATTTTGGAATATTACGAGCATTTAAAGAGGGAAAAACCAAATATAACTAAATTTCAAAGTAGAAAAATAAAAGTTTAACAACATTCAAAATTGAAAGCAATCTTTACTCACCTGATAAGAGGCTCCAACACGAATTTCTCCTTGTACAGACGCCAGCCTTGATGATTCTTGATTGTAAGATAAACAAGAGAAGAATGTATTCTCCTTACTCAGGTCACAATCACCAAGACTTCGGATGTCTTTGACGAAAGTGATTGAGCACTTTCCTCTGAAATATAATTCAGTTAACGATTTACTCAATTAGATGTGAAGAGAGGAGCGGACGAGGGTCAGGGGTTGCAAGCGGGTAGCCCGGCTGGTGCGTTCCGACGGCGGCCGATCAATACACAGCAGACAACTCTTGTAGAAAACCACGCCCATGCGATGACTGGAGACTGAGGAATAACGTGGAGGCCAGTCAGCGGTGCAATGAACTAGACAGAAGCGAGCGCGGACGTTTTCAGGACAGAATTCGCTGTCTGGACCGGACAATCACAATAATGATAGCGATGCAAAGGAGGAACTAACAGGACGTGTGGGCCTGCGCATTAATAATTCATGGAAATTGACAGCTTGGCAGCGCTTTTGGGCACAAAACCACGGCGACAACTGTAAAGCAGGCGACTTCGACAAAACACCAAAGGTCCCACAGACAGGTACAGGTCAAACATCGGCATTATGAAAGGAAACAGACCGACTAGGCCCCCTGCTGACATTACAGATAATGCTGTTCCAGTAGAAAAACATTCCACTTTCAGAATGGTCGCAATAGAAAACCAAAACGGATTCCACTTCATGGAAAACTGCAATAATTGCTAGCCTGGACAGATTTTTCGCCAAAACAGCTTAGAGAGCTTAGCGTCATAAAGGAGCTTGGAGGGAAATCAGAAGACACGATGAATAAGATAATATCAAAGCGCCTAATACTGCTTAAAGCACACTATGAAGGACAATTCGATAAGCGTGAAATGCGATGAGGAAGGCATTTCTAAAGAGTCGTTCGAGCATGCCCCTGAATAATATAGCGCAGGATGACGGAAATTCGAGCGGAATGTGATTACGGACCGGCCGCATCGCAACATGATTATCTACTTTGTTGAGTGCGATTGAAATGTACGCGGATATTCTGTCTCTGTGAATGTGGATGAGAGGAGAGCGAGAGGAGTGGACGATCTGTAAACATTGAGTACTCATGGGAATCGGCTCACAATTCCGTCGTTCATTCATTCACGCTTGAGAAAACGCTAACACTATCACGCTCCATAACCAAAGATGTCAATAGCAATTAAATGCCAAATCGGGCAGAGCAATTTAGCTTTTAACATGCTTGAGAGTCAATGCATTCGGCGGTGTATCCTAGTGACCACCCGCGACGATTAATTGACGCTGCGCTCGTTGACGGTATCGATTGAGATAGCATGGAATGATTCAGCGGAAATAATTCTTCAGGGAACAGTTGTAACTTTTCGCAGTAGGCTGTTGCTAAGAAAAGTTCAACCAATTCAAAACCAGTGACAGCTGTGATGAGGCCATTCAAATATTACACACTCCACATGCACTTCTTCAAAAAAGCTAGAATATTCTACAAAGCATTATGTAAATTGCTAATGAACGATGCCCGCATACGCATTAGACCTGCAGCGGAATGAGGGCTAAACAGACGCTAGGGCACTTTTCCCTGTTAAGGATATAATGTGCAGGGAAAAAGGATTGATAGACACCAAATGTACGTGCCAACGAAGAGCGAGAAAAGAAGTAAGAGTGCGAGGGAAGAGCAATATATCAAAGAACGCCCATTAGGGTCGGATGAGGGGATTCGGCCAAATTGCGCACGAGGTCCCCCGCTAGCAACGAAAGGGGAACAATCGAATTCAAAAACTAAAACCACTCACCTTAAACTAGAAATAGAGTGGAAGGCAGTGGTCTCTGAGGTGAATAATTCTCGTGAGAGAACTTCCGGACTCGGCTCAACAGGGAAATTCATTTCTAACCGCTCTTGCGAGATGAGGCTTAATGAAACTTCCGGCACATCTTCAGGTCGATAAAACCGGGATACTTTCACTGACAGCATATCTCGTTTTGTCTGAAAACATGCATTTCAATGAACTCCTCATGAAAAACTAGAACATCAATTCGATCACAGAAAATGAAAAGCGAATTTGCTACAGTTTATAGCGCGGCAAATCCCTGAGCCGAGCGAGCGAGCTCGTTAGAACGTCTTTGGACGCTGCGCTTTCTTTGCGACACAAATCCAGTTCCTGCGTTCATCGCTGTATGTTGCTTTCGTTTTCGTCATACATCGATCTGATGTCACGCATCGCATCGTAGTGGACGTAGCGAAGAATATGCGCGAGGTGGCGCCAAAGAGCGCCGTCCGGCTGTCTCCTAATTGCATAGCGCGCCATTTGGCACGTCAAACGGCGCCCTGTGCCTAATCATCCGGCGATTGAGTACGTTCGACGGATACTATTCAATATGCAAATATCCGCATGACATATCCGAAACCAACGCTTTGCTAATTATATGCTAAAATTAATCACGTCGGAGCCGAGCGCGCAACTACTTCATGCCGAAGAAAGTCTAAGCCTTGGTCAATATCTAACTATCATTACGATGAGTGCCACACCATACTTGAAACATAATTTTGACTACGAAAGACTGACTCCCCCATGATGGCCGTTGCGAATCCGCCAATACACGCATCCATTGTCAACAATCTCTGTTTGCTAACCTGCTCCGTTAAATACACAAGTCGCTAAGTTACTAAAACCCTATAGCCACATGAGAACTGCACAAGATCTGGTGACCAATCCACGACTGCCGGCCACATCACACCCATGTGCACATATGTTGAGGCGTAGTTGTTTTATGAGGCGTTGGGACGGCATCTTGACAGGAGGGCGGCCAGGGACACAACGAATGTTTACGAGGACCGAGGAGATTAGAACCACAGTTCGTTGTTCAACACAAACAATTTAAATTCATGACAGGAGATTAACAAGGGCACGGCCATAAGATGACACCAGTTAAACGTCAAAGCCCTTTTACAAAAAAAGGATATGATGTAAAAAAAACTGGTATCAAAATGTAATTAGCTATCACGTTCTCTAGGTTAAACTTGTATGCAAGATGAAGGAAACCAAGTTCTCGTGCTATCTCCTCTTAGTTTCCATCACTAATTCGGAGTTCCAGTAGTAGTTTGTTAAGCCCTACAGAAAACGCAGTCAGATGCCACTCAAAATCGGCTTACAAAGACAGATGGTGTCTTTGAGAGCAACGAGCCCTTGGAGCCACTTCAAAGCGGAATTGATACTGCAGTGTAAAATAGTACAGCGCCACATGAAAGCGATTTTCTTCTTGCAAGTAATCTAACTAATCAGCTGCGCACAAAGGTATACACCCAGTGCACAGTTGACCAAGAGTATCGCACACGAGAACTGTGAAAAAAATGTTATTATATAAATGTGACTGTCCTTGCTAGCAATAGCGTAAAATTCTGAAGAAACTTTCAAAAGGGAAGAAAAAAGAGACATTCTCGTTAAAACTTAGAAATTAGACTCAAGCAACGCTCACAACTCAGAAATGCGCTCTCATAAACGCAGTGAAGGTAGGATCAACATGTGATAATAGAAGACGCAGAACATTTCAATATATTAAAAATATCGCACCAACAAGAAGGTGACTAACATTATGGTAAACCGTAAGCACCGGTGACCCGCTCAGTTTTTTATCACTCCAGGGGCGGTTAATTGGTAACATTGGTTGACGGAGCAATAAAAACACTGAATTGAACCAGTTGGCCTCGCAAACCGTTTGAAAGATCTGATATTCACCCAAGTGTTTTCCGATTCTTATTTCTAATTGAGTTCAACACCAGAATTTTGATCATTTTTCTTCATCAAACGTGGATGGTGCCCGAGGAAATCGCAATAGAACATTTCATCTTATATATTGCATTTGTTACACTTCCGTTTCAGCCCTATTCGAAATGACAAGTTGAATAGCATTTTAATTGAAGAGAAAACTGCGCCAGAGCTAGATTATATTTAGTTTAAGCTTAAAAATTGTGAACGGTCACAGGAATGGAAGTCCACAATATCAAATTTACCGACAACCACTGGGGAAAAGGCAGAAAATTCAAAATCCTGAAGAAAGCTGGAAGAAACTGAAAGATGGATTGAATAGCATGTTGGAAAAATGCCCCATTTCATGCCCTACTGCTTTCCATCAACTTAGTAATGAGGGAAGCTAACTGATAGCGACATTTATTTGTATCATTTCCTGTCTTTGGTGCAGAAATTCTATCCTCCTGTTGGCACTACTCAATCGTTTTTCTCCTAAGCCTGCACTTTCACACACTATCGGGAAGCTGCGTTCGAAAACGTGACACACGCACTTAGTTCCTAGAACCGTAGAGAATTCATAGATAACATACTCGAACAGGCTAGCACAACGATAACATGAAGCTGCCACTGCGAAACTTTACGCGGAGATACCAATACGAGATAAGAGTTGTAAAAAGAATAAATGAATTAAGAATTACCATTTTAAACATCGTAATTGACCCGACTAAGTACGGATCGGATGGTGTCGCTTCTATATAAACGGTGTCACCGGGTTTGTACACAATACCATCGTGCGCTTCAAAACAGCAAATTTCGCCGTCCGTACGCTTACGATATGCCTGAAATAGGAGCCTTTTTATCCAAGGTCTGCAATTTATCCACAACACTTCCTAGAGTATTTTGTGGGTGATAGAAAATTAAAGGGAAGGGGACTAACAAAATGGTTTTCTCATAACTTTCTCTGAACAACACTAACTACACGCTGCATAGAGTTAATTGAATTTCCTCTGAAGAAGCGGAATATCGTAAGAGGTACAAACTGACATTCGCTCTAAAGATACCAAGTACTGCTGGAGTGTTATCGACACCTATAAGTCCCTATGCTATTAGTTAAATAGAAGTCTAGAATGATATATGAAGCGTTTCCAATGCATTAGTGACCACAATCTCCATGACTAGCTCGGGATACTAGTCGCAAATTCATAACCTATTTACTCTCTTACTAATTGAATATTTCATTACCCTAGCTTTCGCCAAAATAGCAGTTGAATAAAGGGAACCAGAAGCGCCACTATAAAACTACAGGCAGCAAAAGGCCGCTTTAAAAGGGGAACCAACACGAGTTTCCAAACCCTCTGCCCGCCCGTAATGATGTTTTTATTATGCCTGCGCTTTCACACTACAACTGTTGACACATTAGAGTTCTGGCATCTTCCAAGACTGAAATGCTGATTACAGGAATAACACCCATATGACAAAGTGTTGTGAGGAAAGTAAAGCTTCAAAAGGGGCCGTTAGTGTTCCAAAAATTCTTGCTATCTCGGACATTTATAGTCAAGGCGGAGATGTTATATAGTGACTCTACAAATTCGCGATAGGCAGAAGATAGCCGTCTACGATCTCCCTGATGCATTTCGAAAGGACATACTTTTTAATAACATTTACATCGGGAATGTGTTAGCATGGATTCAACGAAGTGTAAAACAATATGAGTAACTGTTAGGAAAGGAAATGAACTGTGAAAGCAGCGCATAATGCCCTTTTAATGGCCTTGTAGAAGGAAGTCAAATAGCGCTGGGGTACATGTGGTATCAAAGCACCAACTCGACGCCATGACAGATTATTTAACGCCGTCATAGAAATGTAGCTTTTTGCCATAATGCGTCCTGATCATTAGGTGACAGAGAAGCATCATAAATGTATAAATAAGAGAATACCGAATAAGCTCTGAACATTCCATATTCATTCTAGGAACAATACCGCCCAAAAAATCATAAAATCAAACAAAGAATCGATAAATCGGCGTATTCTAGAGCAAAGAAGGAATGGTCATAAAAATGCTCACTACATATTTCATCTATTGTGAATATAAATAAAGTTATCCCACCATGATCTGTTTAAATGAAAGGGAGAAACTTGCGTCAAAACGACCCGTGACATTTGTTGTGAAATTAACACACGAAAACGATATGCGAAATAGACATAACGTGCAAGTACCTTCCCCCGTCGACTGCGGTCCGTGCGACCCGGTATACTGTAGTATAATGGCTCAACCTCCCAAAGTCCGGCTTGAGCATTTTGGTCCGGACTTCGACTAAGCTCCCCGTCTTCTGTCATCTGTAAACGACGAGACGTTCAAAGCAGATTGGTATGGATGCACATTCAATAAGCTAAACGATGAAGTGTGACGAGATACAGAAGATTAAGGCAACATCACAGAATAAATATCGACGAAACGTGAAAACTAATCTAATGTTGTGTAATTGGAATGAGCTCGTTAAATAGTTGAGAAAAACAGTTGGAATTGATCCAAAAATAGTTTGGGTGCCTAAAGCGACTCCCTGGACAACCTAAGACAAATGGATGCACTCAAGAGTGTAACAAGAGAAACCGATAAGAAAGAACGGAAGACTTTCAGACAAAAAATAATGATCTATTCCTAGTGATGTGAAGACGAATTCGAAGTCAGTATGTGGCGGGGCGGTTAGCACAATCATCGCTGCGCAGGCAGCACATACGCACTCAAAGGTCATTGCGGGCCATTGCTAGACCCACACCCGGGCCTTCGATGGCCCATATCCAAGACATGGGTCTGTGACCAAGCGTGAGTGAGCAAACGTCGAGATCGCAGCATGGTACCGACCGGAAGCTCGGAACATTAACATTGACAAACATTTCGACAAAATCGATAACCATGTCCATTTTGAATCACATAACAACCAAGTTAACTGTGAATGCTATGTAGCCCATAGGTCATGTCACAGCAATTTATAAGAACTCGTTCGTAAACTTACACTGAACATTGCAGGTTAGCAGTATAAGGTCATGTTTTTTCTACCTACCGTACCGAGAACAAACGAAACGGGAACATCACGTGCACTTACCGGATGACTCGCCCAAAAGACCTTCTACGGTGAGAAAAAAATTCAAAATTTGTTTAGTGCCCATTAACAAGCTACCAGCCAAACAAATCATCCCACTTAAAAGTTGTATAAGAAGAGTTATTTTGAGAATTCTTACTGAAATAGTGAGTTATTTTGAGGTTATTTTGAGAACAAATTGATGACAATTCATTTACTCGTATAATTGTTCTTTAGAACATCGTAATTGAGTCGCTATCCTTACGACAAAGCAATTACAGGCGTATTAATTATTTAATTGATGAGAGTCACAAGTGATGTAGGGCAGTTGCCAGTGAGATGGCCTAGGTCTTACAACAATCCGTTTCATACAAATCCGCTTCCAATAAACTAGGAAATATTCGGAAAAGGTGTCAGGATGAAAGTTTGGGTCTCATCCAGTGAGAGAGGGGCGTTGCGATTCAAAGCGTTTAGAACCACGAAAAGCATTCTTTTGATGCAAACGTTTAGGAGTAAGCCCTTAGAAGGGAGGGAGCCCACGGGTCCGTGAGTAATCTTCGTTTTCCCCGGTTGGGCTTCTTCCCCTTCCTATGCTTAGTCCTGACCTGCTGGCTAGGTAAATATTACCGTACTTTTCCCAGACGTTAATCTCATCTAGCACAAGAACACATGCATTACACAAAACACCTGAAGAAGTAACATGGGAAAAAGGCTGATAGCAGCTCTTCAAAGAACTAGGAAAAAAGCTGATATCAGCTCTTTGGAGGGAGGACTCCTTGAGCCAAATCGGCGTTAGAGCAGACAGTGCACCGTAATGGCCCCTCTTACCGGATGAGACCCGAAGGCTCTACCGCATTACTTGTTGATAGCGGAAGTGCTAGGTCAAAAATGAGAGCACGTTGTCACCTTTCTCGACACTCACGTCGGAAAATTTAACATGCGAGTACAGAGCTTTTTGCTGACAGAAGGGATTAAACAACTGTTAAAATGGCACTGGAAACAATTTAATACATAATGATATGCAGATAAATTTTCATATATACAAAAAAGTGATACGCAAATAAAATTCCATGCATAAAAGGAAAACTCTCTCAAACACCTCGCCATTCTTGAATCTTTTCAGATCGATAGATCAAATGAGAGAGAGGGGCCAAAAATGGTGCAAAAAACTTGCCCACTTATTTCACGATGCAGTAACATTAGAAAAACCGTCGTTTGTCCACATGCAAATTGAAAAAGGCGTTAATCAGGTGAGTAACCGACACAACAAGTGTTTCCAATAGTGCAGTAGCGCAATGTTCAGACCAGAAAAAAAAGTGGTGGCAAGTGACATGCGGCGGGGCAACACACACACGGGGGAGAACACGTTTCTATTTGAAAACGTAAAAAACAAAAAAAGATGAGAAAATAATGAACATCGACACCAGCAGTTGGGAGATGAGAGAGAGCAAACACACACACACAGGCAAGCAATCAAAGAGGACGCAGCACTGCACCACACGGACGGATACGCCACCGCCAATAGCAGAGACCGCCTTCCACAACAGAGCACACACACACAGAAAACGACAAACAAGAAGTGATTAGTCGGGTTCGGACAAGTACTACTCATAAGTATTCCCAATTGGGAACGTACCAGTAAGGACAAATTACCCACGAACATCAACACACGAAGCGTCTAATTAACGAGCACGCGCGGGAAACAATTCACTGCATACACACGTACCGTTGCAGGCGATCGTTTTGGGAACCATCCATGCCCTCTTTTTGAAAACGAGTTATACCTTCTGTAGACCAATGCTGAGAGTGTGGATGGAAAAACGTAGGCTGTGCATGGTATTGGGACTAAGCCTTTTATAGGAGATAAAGCAAGTAGATGCTTCAATAAAGGTCAGAGTGAGAGCTCCCAGACAAGTAGAAACCCCTGAATTGCTGAGCCACACAGTTGACAGAAATCCTGAGACTCAAAAAACGTAGAAAAGCGTCGAGTGCAGACAACACATCACAAGTGACGACAGCCTCCAAGTAATTTGGTCAGTAGTGGTTCATGGACTGATTTTTAGTTAATGGTAGTTGGGCGCTCATCCGGGAAGGAGGGGCATAGCGATTAGACCATTTCAAACCCGGAAAGCATACTCTTTTATTATAAACGTTCAGGACTAACCATTAGAAGGGAATGAGGCCCCGGGTCCGTGAGCAATCTTGCTTTTCCCCGGCTGGACTTCCTCCCCCTCCCAGGCTTAGTCCTACTTGCTGACTAGGTGAATATTACTTTTCGTAGACGTTAATGTTATCCCGTACAAGAATACATATATTACACAAAACACCTAAAGAAATAACGCAGGAAAAAAGCTGGTAGCAGTTCTTACCTTCAAAGGACTCTTTGAGCCAAATTGGCATTAGAGGCAGACAGTGCACCACAATGCCCCCTCTTACCGGATGAGCACCGATAGTTATAATTAGTGACAACTGGAAGAATACAACTGCAACAGGCTAATAATTTCAGAAAACATTTACATTTTGTGGAGGGCGTCGTCACTTGTGGTGTATGGTCTGCACCCGACGCTGTTCTCGTTTTTTGAAAGAGTATAGGTATTGCAAACCGACCCAATATTTCTGATGCGGTTTTATCACTTTGCAACTAACACTTTATGGGAAGAACTTATGACTGAAGATCTTTTCGATCATTCCGGTTTGGCAATGTCTAGACTTCAATGAAATGTTTGATGAAATTGCACTGTTCGATTCGTTGTGATGTGTACTCAACTCTTTCGACGGGATCACAAAGGAACACTCATGCGAATCGAGCGGAAAGCATCGAAGATTAGCGATTTAGCACTCCGTGGATGGAGTGGCGAGCGATGGGGTCGCCCCGACATCATCACATGCGACCCGCGCTGACCTCTCAGTTGTTTGAGTGGTTACGAGCATATTCATTAAGGAACGCAATCGAAGATACGCGGCGTGTCCGAAATCTATACAATGATGTCGAAAGTATGCGATACAGGTTCCAGAAAGCATGTTATTCAAGAACGCCCCGATATGGCACGGCTACGGACAACCGGCCACTTTCCAAAACTGGCAACTGTCAGAGAATCACATGCGATAACGGGGCATGCGTACAAAGGTCAGCGGTGCAGAGATACGGGCATAATTTTTAGAGGTGTTCCTGAGGATAACAAAGTTCTGTTCCGTCTTTCTGTGAGGGTGTACCATCTCTTTCAAAAATCGAGAAAAGCGTTGGGTGCAGACCATACAACACAAGTGACGACAGCCTCCAAGTAAATCTGGTTGGTAGTGGTTCATAGTATTAGCTGATTTTCGGTGAATGAGCGTTGTAATAAGTGACAACAGAAAGAATACAACTGCAACAGGCTAATCGTTTCATTGGCAGAAAACATTTACACATTGTGAAGGCCGTCGTCACTTGTGGTATATGGTCTGCACCCGACGCTCTTCTCGTTTTTTGAAAGGGACTATAGATGGCAAAGATGGTTTGAGTAGTGCTAAGACTAAGCCTTTTAAAGAAGATAAAGAAAGCAGTGATGCTGTAAGAGTATTCGTGCATAAGAGTTCTCAAAGCGCATTACAAAATGCCAAGTTGCCTAGCCTCAAAGTTGGCAGAAATCCTGAGACCCTAGATGGGTCCCATCTGGAACGCATGCACGAGAAAAGAGTACGGTAGAAGAAATTAGGCGTGTGTGAGATTATAACATGTGCTGGATGAGGTGCGAAGTCGAAGAGGTGAGTTGGAAGAGGAAAAGGCGTGAACAGGGTGTTCTCGAGAGGACATATGGCTGCTGCTTGGGGTACGCGCTCACTGTGGGTGTATGTGGACACACAAGTGGATTGCCGCTCGCGACCCGCAACAGCTCAATTGAGATTATCCGACGACGAGCAGAGGCGACAGCAGTGACAACAGCAGTTCATGCTCACATTGAGCATGATCTCTGCGGTTGCAGCCTTCTGGCTTGAGGCAAGGGACTGCGGGTAAAAACACGGGCAAGAGTACGGGACCGACGAACGACGACGTTGTCGACGACGCACTAATCATCGTCCGAGCAATTCAACGACCGCGAACGCTTAGCACCTATGACACAACGTGTGCGGGTGTCCGTCCGCCTGACGTGCGCGATTACGTGCGATCGCGCTGGTGGTTGACGCGACGAGCGAAAGCGAAAACGCGCGACGCGGGCGATACCCCGGTCGCCGCGATGCTACTTCATAGAGAAAAGAACACTTTAGCCTCGAAACTTC